ATATTTGAAACTAATAAAAGTAATATAAACCGATTACATGATTTTTATCAACTTCATAAAAGTACAATATGCTGCTTACAATACAAATATCTTGACAAGATAATTGGTTCATCATGAAAACACAGAAATACGTATATAAATGACAACGCGGAAGCTATTTCCTAACTATCTTTTTAATCATTTACGACATAAACAAATAAATTTTAAAATCAGGTCTTAGAAAGTGTCAACTTTATACCATTTTAATGTATAAAGTACTATCTTAAAGTAAATTATCAACTACTGATAGTAACGAACAGTAAGAACAAGTAACACTAGACTTATTATTTTCAAGCGAACATTGTTTGCGATTTTGAATTTTATTGGTTAAACAGAAAATTAGTCCTGTTAGCAGAAAATTTAAATGACAGCCATACGGTCGGGAATAATTTTCTGATTAATAATTAAAATGTAGTCTTATGATCGGATAGACGAACAAACATACAGACTAATAACAGCGTGAGTAAAATATCAAAGCCATTATATTCTGTACTATTACATGTGAAAGTTATAAACGAGAAGCCTGCACTCACCAAGATGGAGGACGATGTTTACTTGGCTGGTCCCTTCGTACAAAGTCTCACTCTGCCACCACGTTTCTTTTTCTTTGTCATTAAAATCTGTTAAATATTTTGTTGGGTGATCGTTTTTGGTGCAAACTGTGCATGACGTTCCATCGCTTTTTGTTTCTGTCTGTGAACAGTATTCTGTTATTCGATCTCGTCCACATGTGCTAGTGGACCACGGGTCTCTATTGTAAGCGAGATTTTCAAAGTCAGGAATGCACCTTTGAGCCTCGCCTTCATTATTGTAACATTTACCAGACGACAAAGTCTGAATCTGCCCGTACGACATCCAAAAACTAAAAATATAAATGCAATACAGAAATGAGAAGAAATGTCTTCTTCTAACGGTCGACATTTTGATTTTCTAGATAGGGTGTTATCGCTATCTACTCAGTATACGATAATGATAAGTGGGTCAACGTCTGGAGAAAGTTTATGATATCATAACTCCCGTTGAACAATATATCAATTTAATACAATCAAAGCAAAATATACAACTATGCTTTCAAACAGCTATTGTGACATTATGGGGGAAATGATTTGTTTGTTTGTTTTGTAATTTCGCGCAAAGCTACACGAGGGCTATCTGCGCTAGCCGTCCCTAATTTAGCAGTGTAAGACTAGAAGGAAGGCAACTAGTCATCACCACCCTCCGCCAACTCTTGGGCTACTCTTTTACCAACGAATAGTGGGATTGACCATCACATTATAACGCCCCCACGGCTGAAAGGGCGAGCATGTTTGGTGGGATGCGGATTCGAACCCGCGACCCTCAGATTGTGAGTCGAGCGCCTTATCCACCTGGCCATGCCGGGCCGGGGGAAATGATATGAAACATAAAAACTAATTTTGAACTATATAGGTACCGCGTTTATTATACATTACTTGCTCTATAACTTCACTAAAATACCTGTAGTTCAAATTGAGAATGAATGCTTGGAATAAATAGAAGGGACTATATAGAAAACGTAAATTGACTCGTTTTATTTGACTTACCCATAAAATACAAAACAGGCGGAATTTTGGAACTTTTGTATAATCCATAAGTCACTAAAACTTAAATGTGTTAAAACTGTGATTACGTGATACATAGTGATAATTTCGAAAATTTGTTATTTTCTGAACTTCAACTTAATAACCTATTTTCAATTTTAATTATGCCCAATATTAATGTTTTAGAGATTTACGTCCGTCAGTGAATTAAAAAGTTACTTTAGTTGGATTTTTAATTTTGAAGAAGACTAGTGTATGTTTCTACAGTAAAACAAAATATAATCTTGAAGTCTTTCTTTCTTGTAAATTTGCCGACATGTTTCATTTTATAACTAGCGAAAGCACCCGGTTTCATTCGGGATATTAGGTTGATTTATTCTAGACAAGCTTAGACATACTATACTTGAAAACCACTTGGCTTATGAACTGAACAAAATTGTGTATAAACTCATCTAAAATATTTCGTGAAACAAGACAAGGTTTTACTGAAACAGTCTACGATAAAATAGTTTACAATATCTGTCTTTCATGAAGTTTGCATATGCTTTTCTATTTGTAGTTAAGCATAAAACTACGCAATGGGCTATTTGCGGTGTTTCCACCACGGGTATTGAAACCCGGTTTCTAATGTTATTAGTCCACAGACTTACCTCTGTGCCACTGGGGGGCATTAGTACATGTGGGCTCAAACAGAAGCCTGTGTTCGTGTTCTACTTCTAATAAAACATTGTTATAAATTTAAATCATTGGAGCTAGTTATTTTGTGGATAAGATAAGTAATGACACGCAGGTGCAGACCCTCAGGGTCCACTTAGTATGGGTGCAAAATTTCAGATTTCTGGGTTCTTTCCTCTTGGAGCTATGGCGGGCACACATACACATTCACGCACGTGCGTGTCTCTCTGTATATCTGTGATATAAGGAACCACTTCTTTTCTATGTGGTTTTACGCTAGCTTGCCTCCTTAAAAAGATGTGCATGCACGTGCACATTTCTCTTTTATGTGTTTTTTTGCATAAAAAGATGCGTACGCGCATGCGCGCGTGTGCACGTAGATAAGTAATAATTTCCAGATGCAAACCCTCAGGTTCCACTTAGTATGGGTGGAACATTTCTGATTTCTAGGTTCTTTCCTCTTAGAGCTATGGCAGTCACACATACACAGACACGCACGTAAATAAGGAACCACTTCTTTTCTATGTGGTTTTTCGCTAGCTTGTCTCATTAAAAATATACGCATGTGCGCACGCACGTAGATAAGATAAGTAATAATACCCAGGTGCACAGCTTTAGGGTCCACTTAATATGGGTGCAAAATTTAAGTTTCTAGTTTGGCTACAAGTTCCTTATTATAATTTTTTCTTTCATTCACAACTTAAATAAATTTTGTTTATATATTAAGGTTGTTTCCCCGAAAGAGGTCACCTGTTTTAACCACTCGCACCCCTATACAGTAATGTGTTGTCTGTCAGTCAGTCAGTAGAAACTAAAATGACGCTTGACGTTGCAATTTGTACTGTCGCGAGGTCAATAAAACGTGCGCATGTGATGAATCACGAGAAGAATTATGCACTCTGTAAGCTACGACACAGTATTACATATGAACTTCAAAAGCAAGAAATAAAAATATTTGTTACTCTTAGTTATAGTTTTATTTACTCTTGAAGAAGGACACTCTAGGGAATTTGCGCAAGTACATCTAGTGTAAGCTGTATATCAATAGGATTTGACTTAATCTTCTTCCAAACTGAGAATTTTTATAATTTTTAAAAACTTTTATAAGTTAGTCTTTGCACGATTAATTAATTAATTGAGAGTCATTATAGTTATTCATATGTTAAATCAAATTCAATTTTTCCTATGACTACTTATACGAATTATTGAAAAGTGAAAACAAGATAAATAATTTAAAATGACACTTGTGTAAAACATCGATATGTGCAATTAAAATGAATTCAACGTTAAAATCATAATACAATAAATATTTATTAAAATAAAGACTCTCCCTAAAAAGACTCTACATGCGTATGACACCACCTTCAGGAGCCAAGTTAACTCGCGTAGTCAAGTGAATAAACTCAAAGTATTGCCTTTCCCAGTGGCATAGCGGTATGTCTGCGGGCTTACAACGCTAGAAACCGGGTTTCGATACCCGTGGTGCGCAGAGCACAGTTAGCCCATTATGTAGTTTTGTGCTTACCTTCAAACAACAACAACTCTAAATATTAGCAATACAAGAAAATTGTGTTGTTAATCAAATAAAGTTACAAGACGTTGATAACTGCTGAATTTATTATTTATTTTAAGAAAATAATACCGACAGCTATGATATAATTTCGAAAATAACAAAACTGGTGGTGATGGCGAGTGGTAAATGTTGTAAATATCACACTGTAGTAGGAAAATAAGATGAAACTATTTTAAATATAATGTGTGGTAATTAAAAGTATATATTAAAATTATGGAAAGTATTTTAGACAATATTTTCCTCGGGTTGTTAATGAGAGAAACAATAGAATTTAATTAAACTGTACGATGGCTTCTCGATAATCTCGTACTTGATAGAAGTGATAAAATAGCGCCCTCGGACGGTGAAGAAGAGTTAATAAAAACATTATATTTCGTAATATGTAAGGTGTGTGTGTGTTTGTGTGTGCACATGTGTTTTCATAGTAAAGCCACATCGGGTTATCTACTGTGTCCATTGAGGAGAATCGAACCCCTGATTTAAGTGTTGTAAAACTGTATACTTACCGCTGTTTCACCGTGGGGGGGGGGGTAATAAGTAGACATAATAAATATGAAAAACATATGAACATTTGAAGATATAAATTGAACACTAGTAAATAAGTCTTCTTTATGTGAATATTTTACAACAGTTCTGTTTTAATTGTCTGAACCACATTTATTGTCTACAACAACCGTAAAACAACCGCTCCAAAGTTTACTGTGTGATATAGCTCGACATATATGTTTATCTGAATAGTTCAACCTCGGTCATGTGCAAACGTGTTAGAAATCAACATTTTATCTATCAAACTGCTTGTGAATGCTCCATGAAGTACACCAATCGTTCAGCAATAAGTTTACGAAATCCAGTTTTTTTACTCCGCGCGGTGGTCAGAGCGCAGGTACCCAAATGTGCTGCTTTGGGATAAAAAAAACACAGATATAACACGTTCAAGGAAAAACGAAGGAATATATTTAAGTTCACATCGCTTATTAATATTTCCATATAATTCCCAAGATAATCACTTCTGTAGTTACATCAAGGGGAATCATTACACGAATAATGTACGTTAAGAAACTCGCACGTGGTACCCAAGTATGTGACAGGTTTGATCCCGTTAGCTTTTGAAAGGGCGTATGAATACATACAAATACTAAATTTATAATAGTCAGGTTATAATACTCTTTCATTTCAGAGCAGTTAAGTTTGACAACTTGCTTAAAAAATGTTTCATTAATAATATATAAATTAACAGCTTAGTCTCTTTCGTTATGGCAACTATAAACCGTTAATTCTAGTGGGCAGCAACTAGTATGAACATTATGCATAGAAACATAGCCAACAAATAAACATTACATGAGTAGATTTGATACATACAATATTTTAGCCTTTACTTGTTGTATTGTTGGATTTTGACGTCATTAAAAAAAGACCCACCTTTCGAAAGCGCACAGGTTATAGGGTTTTGTATTTGACTTTAACTGAATTTTTGAACCTACGTGTTTTCCTAACATCATTAACTATTCTAAAGAAATATATGTAAGAAGTGGGTATGACAACAAAGTTGTATATACAGAAAATGTCTCCATAAAAACATAGTCTAATTGCGTAGTAGGTTATACTTAACGATTTATCTGAGCTGATACGAACAGTTGTTGGTCAAAATTGTAATCCTTAGATGTTTGTAACATGGCTTTTGTTGGCTGAAACAAACTAAAACAAAATTGTGCCAAAGTTATCAAATGATAAGAACAGGAATTACGAAGAAAATAGCATACAACTGATTCATCTATTGTTTAGTATCAAAGCTTTTAATTGGTTGTGTGTGAGTACCATAACTGTTAGATAACTTCAGTCGCATAGGAGAAATCAATCAGTGTAGGTAAAGTGTAATGTTCTGAACAAGTTGGAGGGGAGCATATATAAAAATATATATTTTTTAAATTAGGTTATTCGTAATTATAAGGAACATTTCCTATACCTGCTGTCGTTCTTGGAAGCATTTCTCGTTTCGTTGATAGTGCCCAGTCAATGATACACTATCGCTATGGTGAAGAATGACTAGATCACACTTATTGTTACACGTTCAGCGTGGAAGTAGGCTTCAAAAACCACGCTTGAATAAACCAAAGCCACTA